AAGTGTGGAATTCGGAAGGCGTCCAGGGCTAGGGTTTTGAGTTTTCCTTGTGCGGGAGTCCCGAGGCCCGCGTCCCTGGCCCATTGTTCCCATCGGCTCTGGGCCGTCCGCTCTCCCCAGGCCGATGGGTGCATCGATGCTCTTGTGTTCTGTAATCGGTGCGGGGCGTACGCGAGGCGCCAGACAAAGCTGCTGAAAGACCAGCGCAGGCCACCGAACCGTCTGAGTCGCAAGGCCTTGGATAAATTAAGAGCGGGAAAGGGGGCCCCAGTCGGACAAATACTGGGGCTTGCCCTTCCCGTTAATTCGGCGCCAGTTTTAATGCGTTGAAGCTCGGTGGCCCTTCCCCCCCTGAGGTTATTTAATTCTTGATACCTTGGGTGTGTCCCTGCGAAGGCGCAGGTCGCAGTAGGGTTTCATGAGACCCACTGTGGTAAGGCATTAGAGGCATTAGAGGAGGAGGAGGACAAGGGTAACGGCTTACTGCTACCGTAAATCTGCTTATACCCACGCTTTGATTCAATCCCACACTCTCGATCATGGCGTTGTCTTCCGTTTCTTCCATCCAGTGCGGAAGCGATGGCACATTTTGTATTTGACCTGAGATGCACGCGATCGATGACGACATCGGCTCTGTCGGCTCGACTAATGTTGTTTCGAAGGGAACGAATGCACACGCCAGACGAATGCTCGACTAATGTTGTTTCGAAGGCGAAAGGTGCACTCGCAGACCATGCTACAACGGCCATCGTAAGTTAGCACTTGTGAAAAAGGGGGTTCAGTGCGACCTCGGCGATTCAGAGACGGTTGAGAAGCTGAAGTAGAAGCTGAACGAAGCCAGATTGAAGGTTTTAGCCGTTGAAGGCAAACTCATGGCGATGAGGCGTTTGCCGGGTCCTCCCAGTGATGACGATTTCGTGGAATCGTGGAGCTCAGCTTCGAGCACCAGCGGATCAGAAACTGGCCAGGACAGCGAGGAGGCTATCGAGAGCGAGGCCGAGAATGTGGAGAGCGAGCTGGATGACACGATCGCGGAGGGCGGCGTCATGTTGGTTAAAGGCCCAACCTCGGCCCTGGGATTGGAGTAGAACGGCTACTACGGGAAAGTGGTTGCTGAGCTGAGTGCAGGGCGGCAGGGAGTCCGGATCAAGGGTCGCACATACGCCTTCCAGGATGTGAACTTAGAAATGGGTATGAAGGCGGACAGGATGTCCGAGGAGGACGAATACATGCTTCTCTCTCTCTCTCTCTCTGAAGCCAACCCCGGAAAATATCAAGAGCAAACCGCATGGAACGCGTGAAGATGTTTTACCCGAGCTAGTGACCCAGGTAATTAGAGGCCCCAGTCACCTTATGTGTATCAGCTCACAGTGGCAATGGCCAGTCGACGGAGCAGGCGATCCAGACATAGAGGCGTCGGCTTTGTTTGTTGCGACCCACCAGCGTGTCCGGCATAGCGATCCCTCGCAGTCTGAGGCTCCAGCTGGAGCGTATTGTCATGTAACGTGGAATCAGCATCAGTCACGCACGCAGGCGGCACAATTCCGCGCGTCACCTGCAGACGTTGGCTCGTCTTTGTATGCGAGGAGCATCGTTTTGTAAATTATTGCGGCGCCGATGCTGGGTGTAACTTTAGATTTCGATTACGCAAAGGCCGTTGTCAGAGTCTAGGCTTGGACTATTGATCGAATTAACTTCCAGCGCGCCGCTTTTTCCCTCTCGTTTTCTTTTTCCCGCTCTTCTTCGCGCTTGCTCTCCCCCGTGTTCCCGTCCCCCTCCGCGACAGCGACCAGTGAGTTGAAGCGGTTCCGCTTCCAGGGAGCAGCCAGGGTTTCAGGCACGGGCAAGCTTCGAGCTTGAACCGTGACAGGCTCCGTCGATCGACGGCCCGCCATTCCAACAGTCTCGGGTTCAGCCAGTCGACGCTGTGCGTGTCTTGCGCTTTGGGAAAGAAAAAGGAGGAGGAAGTGGAGGAGGAGGAGGGGGCAGAGGAGGAGGAGGAGGAGGAACAGGAGGAGGAGCAGGAGGAGCTGGAGGAGGTCCGCGTCCGGATTCACGCCTGTCCCAGAGCCGCCAGATGCCCTCGCAGCTTTTTCACCGTGTCGTTGTCGACGCAGCTGCCGAGACCTTCCATGGCAATGCCCGCCGCATTGCAGACCGTGTGCTGACCGCCGCTCGCTCGCGGCAGGGGCGGCGCGACCGAGCTGCACCCGACCGCCCGGCCCAGTGCTTGCCGCGGCCCAGGAGGGGGAGTACGTGCAAACGAATGATGATCATGTTGTCGAGGACGATCAATGGAGAGGAAGCATGTTGTCAAATAATTCCCGGATGTCTAACACATGCATTAAACATGGTTTAAGCATGTTTAAAGCATGTTTGGAACATTTGTCCTACAGTTTGAACGCACTTAAAATTCGATGATCGGACTGTTAGGGTGTCCATTGTCGTGGCATCCGCAATGAGAACTACGATGACGATGAGGATGATGAGGATGATGCTGATGATGATGATGCTGATGATGCTGATGAGGCCAATGATGATGATGATGATGATGATGATGATGAGGATGAGGATGAGGATGAGGATGAGGATGAGGATGTTGATGATGCTACTGCCGCTGCTGGCGATGATGCTGCTGATGATGGTGGTGGTGGTGATGGTGCGGGTGATGATGATGATGATGATGATGATGATGACAATGATGATGCTGGCGATGATGATGCTGATGATGATGACGATGACGATGACGACTGTGATGACGATGGCGATCAATGGTATGATGATGCTGCTTATGACGATGGCGATACCGAAGATGATGACGATGCTGGTTATGATGATGATTACGATGATGATAATGATGGTGAGGAGGAGGAGGAGGTGGAGGAGGAGGTGGATGAGGATGACGATGGAGGTGATGTTGTGATGACGAAGACGACGACGATTTTGAGGATGCTGCTGGTGCTGCTGATGGTGATGAGGATGTTGATGATGATGATGATGGTGTTGATGATGATGACGATGATGTTGTTGCAGATGATGATTATGATGACTCTGGTGTGGTCATGATGGATATGATGCACATGATGATTGTGATGGTGATGCTGGTGGTGGTGCTGATACTGATGGTGGTGGTGTTGATCATGCTGGTATTGGTAATCTTTATGAAATGGTTGACGAGGAGGTGGAGGAGGATGCTGAGGTGGAGGAGGAGGTGGACGAGACCTGATGCCCCCCCCCCTCCTTGGTCCTCCGATTCCCTCCCCTCTCCGTCCGCCTCCATCCTCCCTCCCTTCCTCCATGCTGGCCTGCTGGGCAACAGACCAGTACCCGATGTCCACGACGTGCCGCCCCCTTGGGACCCCCCCGCCACATGACAGCGACCCGCTCGGCGAGAACGCGGATCGGAGATCACCGCGCGTCGCACGCTGCGGCTGGGGCTGGAGAGGCGCCCTTTGGGGCGGCGGCGCGAGGGAGGCGAAGAAGATGGCCGCGCGTCGCGCATCGCGGGGCGCGATGCGCGAGGTTTGGTAATCTTGGTGTCACTGGGCTCGGTGGACAGTGGCACAGGAGAACCCAACGGCATTGGTCGCCGATGGCAGTTGCAGCCCGCCTGGCAGGCACCCGCAGCACAGGTCGGAGGAGTGTTCGCCTGGCGGCCTTTCGATTCGCGTGGCAGCCGCTGCCTCTTCGAGTCGAGCAGGGATGGATGCGCTCTGCGCTCCTCCTCCTCCTCCTCTTTCTCCTCCTCCTCCTCCTCCGCCTCCTCCTCTGCCTCCTCCGCCTCTTCTTCTTCTTCTTCTTCTTATTCTTCTGAATATTCGTATCATCCGTACTGTTAGTATTATTATTTCTGTCATTGATATTAAACTTATTATCCTTGCTAATATTATCGTTCTTATGTATCTTAGTATTACTACTCATCTTAGTGCTATCCGACTTGTTCGTATTCATTATTATTTTTGTGGGTGCTTGTCCTCTCCTCTCGTCGTCGTCGTCCTCCTCCTCTTCCTCTTGTCAGCAACGTCTCCACTCGGGCTGGGGAGCTTGTGTGGATGACTTTGTTTCGGTTGCGCGCGCTATCTCGCTTTATTGCATCATCTTGCAGGCTATTTTGCCTCTGCTTGGGCGTGTCAGGGTCTACACGCGTCGGCGAGCTGTGAGAGCCGCTCTCGGCTAATACGCTGGCCTCTCCTCTTTTCCTCCTGCCTTTCCCCTCTTGTCTTTCCTCCTCCTCTCCCCGGTGGCGCTGATACGTTTTAGGTTGAATTCGTATCGCCGCATGCGTCTTCCCCACACTTCGGGGCCGCAATTCGTGACACGGCTGGCCGCCCAGGGACGTCTCAGTTTTACCCCCCCGCGGGGCGTGATGCTATCTCCCTCGTCGCCCGCTTTCCCTGCTCGCCTTCCTCCCCAAACGCTCGCCCGGGCAATAATTGTCACGGGTGGCTCTTTTAATTGGCGTTGTCTGTCTAGGGGGGGCAGGATTTGTCCGTTCCAGCCGCGTGGTGTACAGTTTCGCTGTCCGCTCCCATCTTCTCCCTCAAAAAAAAAATAACAGGTTGGAGGAACAACGCATCGCCCGCGCGACGGCTTCCGTGCGCGCTCATTCGGGCCAGGTGGGACCGGACATCACCGTGTGAGGGCCCCGCCCCCCCCCCCCCGACGATGCTGACCGTCAACGGCCCGGCTCCTGCGGATCCGCGCTCGCGCTCGCTCGCCCGCCCCGTCTCCATCATGCTGCTCCTGCTCCTCCTCCTCCTCCTCCTCCTCCTCCTCCTCCTCCTCCTCCTCCTCCTCCATCCCTCCGCCAGTCTCCTCTTCGTATCCCCTCCTCCTCCCCTCCTCCTCTTCCTGCTCCTCCTCATCCTCCTCCTCCTCTTCCTCCATCCCTCCGCTCCTCCAGTCTCCTCTTCGTATCCCCCTCCTCCATCACAGGCTGCGCGTTGGGGTGCGCCCCTCCTCCTCTTCCCCTTCGCCTCCCTGCCCCCTTCTGGCCACGAAGGCGGCGCTCAGCCTGGTAGAGGCTTACCTGCCGTCGTTCGACCTGATCAACATGGTCCCGTGGGGGAAGGGGGGCCGACGAGGGTCAAAGCGTTGTGGAGGACGATCAATGGAGAAGCATGTTGCCAAATAATTTCCAGGTGTTTAAAACATGTGTTAAACATGTTAAAAACATGTTTAGAACATGTTTCCGACATTTTAAACACACTCGTAATTCAATGATAGGATTGTTAGGATGTCTATTGTTATGGCATCCGCAACCCTTGGGGGAAGGGGGGCCGACGAGGGTCAAAGCGTTGCCCTCCTTGTGAGCCGGCTTGGGGTCTGAGGTGGCCCAGCACTGGTTCCCGCTGGCAGAAGGGGGGGAGAAATGGCCCTACTCGTCGCCACGGCTGGACTCCGCTCGAAAACCTTTTCAATTTCGGCACTGCGAGGGGCCCAGGGACCGATTTGGAGAGGAATTGCCACAGCACATTGACCGATGTTCTCGGGGTCCATCTAGCGCAGACCCCCGGCCCCTTCCAGACCCTCCTCCTCCCGCTTGACCCCCCCCCAAAGAGACCAGCACAGAGTACGGCATTTGGCGGAAAACGTAATGGAAGAGATTGGCATCTCAGTTCGCACGTCGAGAAATCCAGGAACACGTATTGAGAAATCCTCTTTCTTTTTCTCCTAGTGCCTGATGCCTCCTCGTGTTGATGCTGCTCCTGCTGCTGCTGCTGTTGCTGCTCCTCATCCTCCTGCTCCCTGCTCCTCCGTCTCCTCTCTCCCGCTCCTCTTCTTTTCCTGCGGCTGCTCCTTCTCCTTCTGCTGCTGCTGCTCCTCCTCCTTCTCTTCCCCCTCCTCCTCCTCCTCCTCCTCCTCCTCCTCCTCCTCCTCCTCCAGCTGGTTGTCGTTGACGACGCCTGCTTCTGGCGTCGTCTTCGGTAGCTCGCTTGGTGTTTTATTGTTTTGTTCATCGTCGAGTTGTGCGTACTGGCCTTTCCAGTCGTCTCGATTCTTGACGCTTCGCGTATCCCCACCAGCCGTAGCCCCCCCTGGCTCAAGCCGCTCTGGCTCAAGATGGCCGAGCCGGCTTGCGCGGTCGCGGCCGGGGGCTTGCCCCTGGCTCCCGGCTTTCCCGTCCGCGGGGGTGGGGACGGAGGTCGGCCCTCCCTCCTCCCCCCCGCCCGCCAGGCCATGCCCCTGGGCGCCCCTGCCCGCGCCGCCGGCGCGGCCCTTTGGCTTGCGGAGTCGCATGCGGCCCGCCGCCGCCGCCAGCGGCGCGCGGCCGCCTGCCGCCGCGCGGCGCCGCTCCCGGGGCTGGCGCCGCGGGCTGCCACGGCGGCCGCAGGCGCGCCTGGCGCGGGCGCCGCCGCCGGCGCTGCCGGCGCGCGCCGCCGGCGCCGCCGCTGCCAGAGGCGCCGCCGCCGCCTGCGGGACCGCGGGCGCCGCTGGCGCCGCCGGCGCCGCCGTGGCTGGGGCCGAGGCCGCCGCCGCCGCGGCGGCTGGCCGCTCGGCAGACGCCGCGGTCGCCGTGGCCTGCGCCGCGGCCTGGGGGCCGGCGGCCGCGCGCGCCGCGGCCGCGGCCGCCGGCGCCGCTGCCGCCGCCGCGGCCGCGGCCGCAGTGGCCTCCGCGGCCGCTGCTGCCGCCGCCGACTCCCCTCCGGCGGCGGCGACGGCGGAGGGCGCGGCCTTCGGCGCGGCCCTCGGCGCGGCCCTCGGCGAGCCGCCGCACCTGCAGAGCAGCAGCCGCAGCAACAGGGCTGCAGCTGCCGCAGCAGCCGCAGCAGCAGCAGCAGCCGCAGCAGCAGGGCAGCAGCAGCTGGCAGCAGCAGTAGCCGCCGCACCTGCAGCAGCAGCAGCAACAGGGCTGCAGCTGCCGCAGCAGCCGCAGCAGCAGCAGCAGCCGCAGCAGCAGGGCAGCAGCAGCTGCAGCACCAGCCGCAGCAGTAGCAGCAGCGACAGGACCCAACAGCTGCCGCAGCAGCAGCAGGGCAGCAGCCGCAGCAGCCACTGCAGCAGGCCCCCCAGCGACCACAATAGCAGCAGCAGCAGCAGCAACAGCACCCCGCAGGGCAGAGAAAATAATCAGCGTGTGGCGCGAGCTCAAGCTATCACATTGCCTGTCGCCGGGGCTTTCGGCCACCACCTCACCTCCCATTGCTCCTCCCCTGACAGCAGTACCTCGAGGGCGCTATCTGTTGATGCTCAAGCGGTTGGGGCTCAACCTGTGGCGACACGAGCTCAAGCTATCACATTGCCAGTCGCCGGGGCCGTCGGCCACCACTTCATTCTCCATTGCCCCCCTCATGGCAACAGCATTGTGGCGACAGGTGGGAGTGCTGCTGGAGCGCTTTCCGACGCCGACGCGGCGCTCAGTCGCTTCCAAGGACTTGAGAGCGGCAGGCACGATACTGGAGGAGGGGGTGATGCGTTCATCCCTGCGATACACACAGATCATCTTGCGACCTTCCGTCGCTACCCTGGAACGGATGACGGCAGGCACAGGGATGCCCACTGCGCTCGACCCAGGAACCGTAGCGGCGTGGAGGAGAGGACGAGGGATCTGGCTCCCACAGGGGGTGGTCGCGAGGGCGTCGACAGTGCGAACACTGACGTTGCGACCTTCAGTCGCTTCCCTGGATGTGATAGCGGCAGGCATGATGCCCCCCCGCCTAGCTTATCCCCCTCTCTCACCCCAACCCCTCCCGCGCCCACTGCTGGGCGCCCAGTCTCTTTCTTTCCGGGGGGTGCTGGGCCGAGTGGGACTGCCTTCGGCGACGCCTGGAGCACGGGGGGCGAGGGCCCAACTCCTGAACAAGCACCCCCCCCCCCCCCCCCCCCCCCCCCCGCGGATCCAGGTCCTCGTAGGCAGACTGACGAGGGGCAGAGAGATGCCTTCGGCGTTCGACCCAGGGACCACTGTGACTTGCAGGGGAAGCCTAGGGAACTGGCACTCCCTGGGGGCGCTCACGAGGGCGTCGGCAGGGGAGACGGGCAGACGCCTGCCCTCGGTCCCGACTCGCTTCACAGAGGCTCGCGCCTACACTCCGCCGAACCTCCCCTCCTGGACGCGCCTGCGCCGAGTGATGCAGCCTTCGGCTGCGCACTGACCGTAGAAGATGGGCCTTCAGTCCCTGGAGCGCCTTCCGACGCCGACGCAGCGTTCGGTCGCCCCCCTGGACCTGAGAGCGGCAGGCGCGATCCTGGAGGAGGGGGTGATGCGTTCACCCCTGCGATACACACAGATCTTGCGACCTTCCTTCGCTGCCCTGGATCGGATGACGGCGCGCAGCGGGGCGCCCACGTTGGGGAGGGGGGGGCCTTGGAAGCGGGAGGGCGGGTTGATGCGATCAACCCCGCGATGCACACCGACATTGCGACCTTCAGTCGCTTCCCTGGATCGGATGCCTTGGAAGCGGGAGGACGGGTTGATGCGATCAACCCCGCGATGCACACTGACATTGCGACCTTCAGTCGCTCCCCATGGATCGGATAGCGAACCGCTGGGCCGTTGCGTTGGGGCGGGGGGGGACCTTGGAAGCGGGAGGGCGGGTTGATGCTATCAACCCCGCGATGCACACTGACATTGCGACCCGCAGTCGCTTCCTTGGATCGGACAGCGAACCGCTGGCCTCCCCAGGGGGTGTTCGCGAGGGCGTCAGGAGAGGAGACAGGCAGACGCCTGCCCTTGGTCCCGACTCGCTTTGCAGAAGTTTGCGCCTGCACTCCGCCGAACTTCCCCTCCTGGATGCTTCTGCGCTGAGTGAAGCAGCCTTGAACTGCGAATTGAACATAGAAGATGGGCCGTCAACCCTTGGAGCGATTTTTGACGCAGTGGGGCGAGCCTTCAGCTCCAGGCGCCAAGGTACATCTAGCAACCTCAGAAATGAAGAACCTTCAGCTCGAGAGCCTGAGACGGCACTTATGGTCTTCGGGGGCGCTGCTGGGCATGTGGCCACAAGCGGCGACAGGGGTCGCCGCGCGCCCGTCTTCCCTGGAGTTGACAGCACTACTCGAACAGACAACGGGCTTTCAGCCCGATGAGCTCCCAGCGAGACAGCAGCTTCGATCGACCCAGCAGCCTTGGGCGCCCCAAGCGGACGCCTCAGCGCCACGGTCGATCCTTCGACCACTCAACTCCCTGGACACCCCCTTTACCCCGAAGACTTTCGTCAGCCGCCCGCCCCCCGATCAGTCAGGCGCGGGCGCGACGAGCGTTCAGCTCGAGATTCTCATGCGGAGCGAGCCTTCAGCTCGAGGGACCAAGACGCAGCGGGAGGCAGCATAATTGACATAGAAGATGGGCCTTCAGGGCCTTCAGCCCTTGGAGCGACCTGTGACACAGCAGAGCGGGCCTTCAGCTCGAGACTCCAAGGCGCATCCAGCCACCTCAGAGGTGACGAGCCTTCAGCTCGAGAATCGGGGACGGCACCAAGGGCTGCCGAGAGTGCAGACGGGCATGTGGCCACGAGCGGCGACGGGAAGTGCCCCTCGCCCGCCGCCTCTCCTGGAATTGACAGGGCCGAGCACGCAGAAGGCGGGCCTTCTTCAGCCCGAGGAGCTTCCAGCGAGGTCATAGCCCATCGCCCCCCCCCTGGCAACAGTATCGTCGCGACAGGTGGGAGCGCTGCCGAGGGGGCGCCCGCAGTCGAGGGCCAGCCTCCTCCCGAGAAGAGCTTCACGACGCCTCCCCGAGCGGATGGCGGAGGTCATCCCGAGCCTCCTCGCAGCGTCGAGGGCCGGGAGTTCACGCCGGAGCGTGCGTGCGTGCGGGCCACAGACGGGCGCGTGTTTGCGATCGGCACCGACCCTCCAGCCAGCGCCTCCGAGGCCATCCCCGTGGCCGACGGTCTACACGGAGCCCACCACTTGCAAAGCCTGGGGCTGTCGACACAGCTGGTTGGCGGCGAGACCCAACAACGCCCCGCTGTGACTCCGCCCGCCGCCGCCCCTGGGACTCTCGAAGACCCCTTGCTGGGTAACCACGAACGCGCCTTGCAGAGGCAGGACATCGAGGCCATCCGCCAGCTTGTCGAGAGAAATCCCTTCGCGCTCATTCGCCCTCGTTCC